TTAGCTACCGTTTATGACAAGCATAGTCGCCTCTTGCGACAAGCATAGTTGCCTCTTGCGACAAGCATAGTCGCCTTGTGACAAGCATGGGTTGCTAAAGACCAATTCAAACCAGGATCTTCACGGGTACAAAAATCCCAGAATGACCTTGAAATAGACAAGAACCTGGTGAAATGTGTGTCAGGGGTAGTTTATGAAGGTATAATGACATCCTTTGCACAACCCATCCTGGCACATGACTAGGATACAATTCACTTCATAGCACAGCGGCGTCAATTTCTCTCCGTCTATAACAATATGATGATACATAACTACTTGTCTCCTGTTTGACTGTAACACAACCAGACACATGGTCTTTATTAGAGGTGGTCGTATTAGAGGGACGGTAGCTCATGATGGTTTAATGTCTGTCATCACACATTGCATATAGAGTTATAGACATTGCTAACTACGTTTCACACTCCGGAGATCAGAGGGCGTCACAACTGGCTTCGTAAAGACACCCTCAACTGAAATTACCTCAAAAGTACATAATAAACCAGACAGGGTTTCATATGGTGTGGCTTATTGAGTTGTTGTAGGGTAAAAGAGTAAGTAAATTGGGAGTCGGTGGGACGTTTAAGTCTGTCATCGTCTGTCGAACATGTGTGCCGATGTATTCAATATGACCCTGCCGTGGGAGGGGTATGAACATGTCAACGTGTGTTTCTGTACAGGAGTGAGGTATTTACTTACATGGAGGTAGTGGCAGCCAAAACAGGGAGAACAACAACTCACTCTGGAATGGAGCTGGGAAATTGTTTAGTGTATGTGGTATGTTTCTGGTGGGGGTTTGGGTATAGGTGACATGTGATGCAACTGATGTACAGATGGAGTGGTGACGGGAAACAATAGAGGACTGCACTTGGCAAGATGGTTGTGTCAATACGCTCGGGAAAACTGGGAAGGAGAGAGCTGACGAGGAGTAAATACTTCTTGGCGAGCGAGTGAGTGAGTGAGTGAGTGAGTGAGTGAGCAAGTGAGGGAGAAGATGGGTGAGTGAGTGGTTCTTTACCACTGTTTAGTGATATTCCAGCCATATCATGATAGGGACACAACTATAGATACACTCACTCACTCACTCACTCACACACTCACACACTCACACACTCTCATACACTCACTCACTCACACACTCTCATACACTCACTCACTCACACACTCTCATACACTCACTCACTCACTCGTTCACTCTCACACCCATTCGCATACTCTCACACTAACTCTCACACTCACTCACTCACTCACTCACTCTCACACACTCACTCACTCACCACAACATTTCGGCCACACCAAGGCAGGGACACCAACATAAAAACAGGATACCCACTTTGTACCCATGTGGAGAATGGAACCAGATCTTCAGAATGATGAGCTAACACCTTCACCAGGAGGCTACACTAGACACAGACAAGGACGAGCCCAATCAAGTAGACATCTATTCCATGAACATACAAACCCTGATTGTAAGAAGACATACCCACCACCAGAATAATACTGTTTGATACAACCCTGCTTGTATTGGCCATACCTACAGATGCTCCATGTGGGGCAGATTATGAAACAAATCAATTCTCTCACAAATGCAATAACCTCGTACTCCAAGACACATGTTACTTGTTCCAACTCTTAATCAATCCCCTCCAACAATGACCTCCCATTCTGTTACACTACCTATAACTCCAAACAAATGCAAGTGTACACATTCTACTGAAGCTGAAGGAAATAGATTGAAAAATGTGAATATTTACACTTAATGACATGTACAGTATCACCCCCAAAATGTGTCCTTTCTACTGGACTATAAAATGAAGAACAAAACTAGACTATCATTAAGTCTCTAAAATGATTTTTTTAATTTAAAAAAAATAAAAAAAATTGAATTGTCTTTGATATATACTAATCAACTTTTGGTAGAGATAACCAGACATGGTATCCTATTTAAATAAACACTTGACATATAAGAATTAGTTTTGTGTATCATGGAAAGAAAAATTATCCTTACAAAAGTTGAGTAGTATAGAATATATCCATTGATCAGAAGATCTCTCCAGTTTTAGAACTGAATAAATCTAGATTTGCCAAAGTTAAGTCAACTTTTGTAGTTTTCTGATATTTCTGTTTTGGAGAGACTACACTAAGCCCCTCCCCACAAAGTGAGCTTAGTGTCACAACCCCTCTACCTTAACGTACACTTATGATAGATGTAGCACTATAAGGCTGGAAGGGAGTCAGTGTGCTGTGTGATAGGCTAACCCGATTCCTACACGTCGCAGCAGTATTACCTGTAAGAACTCGAGGCAGACATAACAGTAACACAATGTACCAACACACGACATGCTAACAGTATATAAGCTTACGTAACATGTTCCATGTTATAACAGTCATGTACATATACAGTGAAGCCTCGATGGTCCGGACATCGTTAATCTGAAACCTCATGCTGTGATTTCTGCTGTGTGGTTCCAAGCATACAAAGTGTTCGTATCCATGATTTGTAAACTGAAATTTATGAAACTGGAATGGGACATTACATCCAGATTAACAAGATTCACTGTATCCAGATATAATTATTGTATCAGAAAGTTCTAAAGTTAGACTAGTGTATGAGAATATATTCCACCTAAGCAGATTGTAAGCTGTATAACAGTATTCACTACCAAATGAAAATTATGCTACAAAGTTAAACAATATAAAACTTTATTATGATTCTACAGTGTATAACAATATTTGCCACCTAATCAAAATGATTCTATAGTTTATAACATTATTCAACTGCTAATCATAATGATTCTACATTGTACAACAAAATCCAAACCTAATCATAATGATTCTACATTGTACAACAAAAACTAAACCTAATCATAATGATTCTACATTGTCCAAACAAAATCCAAACCTAATCATAACGATTCTATTTTGTACAGCAAAATCCACACCTAATCATGATTCTACATTGCACAACAAATTCTAAACCTAATCATAATGATTCAACAGATAATAACAATATTCCCCACCTAATCATAATGATTCTACAGTGTATAACAATATTCCCATTCATAATGACTGTACAGTATATATATATACAATGTATACCAATATCCCTCACCTAACATTAATAACACTACAAGGCACAATGGTATAATAGTATTAATAACTAACTTACACTTACCCAACATCATGTCTGACCCACAGATGGAATTACATGGCAATTACAACTTCCTTACGTTTCATTAAAGTCACATTTTCTAAATGGCTGGTGCTATTTCCTATTGCAAGCTTACCGCAAAGAAGAAACATTTCCTCTAACATTTCAGTCGGAAGTCGGCCAAATTAACCTAAGTGAAGGGCAGCGAACCTTTAACAAACTTCAATATATATCGGTGACACACATTAAAATTATCCTACATAATAATTTGTGCTGAACTTCAACATATAAGCAAGAATTTCAATGATGGTAACTTTGTCACGAGGGGTCATGCTGTTGGGTACATTTTGCATCACACTGCATCTTCGTTACAGCAACCAGTATATGATAGATCTAGGTGACACATTTCTCCTCATGTCTACACATTTCTACTCCTCTCTACACATTTCTCCTCATGTCTACACATTTCTACTCATGTCTACATATTTCTACTCATGTCTTTACATTTCTATTCTTGTCTACACATTTCTACTCTTGTCTACACATTTCTACTCCTCTCTACACATTTCTACTCATGTCTACATATTTCTACTCATGTCTACATATTTCTACTCATATCTGCACATTTCTACTCCTCTTTACACATTTCTACTCTTGTCTACACATTTCTACTCATGTCTACACATTTCTACTCTTGTCTACACATTTCTACTCTTGTCTACACATTTCTACTCATATCGAGAAAAGTACAAATAGATGATACTGTAAAAGCATGAATAATGTCTCACACAAGATTCTATCAATAGATTGCATTAGTAAATAAATAGAACAATAAATCTATTCTTGAATTATATGATAGAACATAACATATCAAGGTAATTTCATATAAACAAATATTATCTATGTATCAAATAGTTAAACTAAGTTCATTGATAATCTTTGTTAAACAAAGGATAAAATATTTATCAGCATAATTTAAAATGTAATCATTATTGATTGGTAGATGAATTATTTTATAAAATACATTTTATGGTTGCCTTTAGGTTATACAGGAATACAAGTATAGACCCAGTGGGGGGTATGTGTGGTAATGTGTACATTCAACAAACACCCACAGACGAGAACGCCTGCGTCATATAAGTTAAAATGTGATCGGTGTTGTTGAATTGATGTATTTTTTAATAAAATTTATGCCATAACAGCTCACAGGTGCTACACAGCAAGAGTATAGGCCCAGTAGGGAATATGTGGGATACAGCAACACTCAACCCACATTCACAGAGGTGTCTGTCTGTGTCATATTAGTTAAAGTGTAATTCTTATTGTTTAATTGATTAATTATTTGATGAAGTATATGCCATGGCCCAGTGAGGTGTACGTGGGATAACAGCTACATTCAACCAACACTCACAGAGGTGTCTCTCTGTGTCAGATTAGTCAAAATGTAGTTGTTATTGATTAATTGATGAATTATATGATACAATATATACCATGGTAGCCCTCAGGTGTCTATAACCCAGTGAGGTGTACGTGGGATAACAGCAACATTCAACCAACACTCACAGAGGTGTCTCTGTGTCAGATTAGTTAAAATGTAGTTGTTATTGATCAATTGATGAATTATATGATACAATATATACCATGGTAGCCCTCAGGTGTCTATAACCCAGTGAGGTGTACTCGGGATAACAGCTACATTCAACCAACACTCACAGAGGAGTATGTCCGTGTTAGCACGGACACAGAAAAAAACCTTTACATCTTCGCTGCATACACAAATAGATCAAAGAACCATAACATAAAAAAGACTTACCTACAGTCTGCATCTGGTGCAGAGGTAAATACCTATCCTCTGTATATCCTTGAGAAAGCACAACACAGAACACTCCAGTTTCACCTAGGCAGTGACAGAAACCCTCGCAGATATCCAAGTTACCTAGCACAAGGGCAGAGCACACCCATAGCTAACTCACAGTTACATAGTCAGACTTCACACTGGCTGAATTCACTTTACAATGGCTGGAAACTTTTTTACTATGCAGGTCTCTTGAGTGCAGACTTCATTCACATCTTCAATAGATAATGTTCCATTTAAATAAGCATCAAGTCTTGTGCGACAGTATGTGTGTGTATTGGAATATACCCTTCTGTCATACATGAAATATTCTGGTAGATCCAGCAGTGTTCCACACCTGTCCCACACAGAAACCGATCCTTGCGATTTGGTCGGCAGTGTGTGGTAAGTCAGCCACTCCAAGTTGTGTGTGCCACGGTTCACGGCTGACAGGCCAGTCAAATACTCTCTCTGCCCGGCCCCTTTAACAGCCCTGGTCCGACTAGTTCCACAGGCCACTGTGGTGACTTCTTTTTAACTGCCGTAACCATTCATACACCTTACTGACCTCAGCCTGTCGTGGACTAGCCCGATGGAGGAGAGAACAGAGGGAGGGGCTTGCTACATTACTGGTGCAGGGGTGGAGGGTAGTTGTAGAATTGGTAGTAGCTACCGGGGACTGGGGAAACAATATCAGAGTGCTGAGGAGGCTCACAGGAAAGATTGCACAATTTAGTGCATGGTACTGGTTGCAGAAGCTGCACCTGACAATGCTGGGGGTGCACTTCGGAACACTTTCCCGTCTTGTGTCATGCACTAATAACTTACCCTTTTCTCTATATTGACTGAACACTATGTGCACTGTCTCATATAGTTTTGTTTGAGATAAAAATTAGACACACATTAAAATAAATCTTTTATGGCAATTATTCAGTATATCATGAGAGAACTTCTCAAGTTTAGTTTCATTTGAGATCTAAATTAGACACAAATGTACATATTAAAGAAATCTTTTGCACATAAAAATTATTCAATTGCTGAATCAAGAGAGAACTTCAAGTCAATTTTATTCCATTTGAAATGAAAATTAGACATACATATTAAAACAATCATTTACTGCATAGAAATTATTCAGTTGCTGTATCCAGGGAGAAATACTTGTCAAATTTAGTCTTGTTTGTGAAGAAGAATTAGACATACAAATTAAAACATTTTTAGCACAGAAAAAGTTCCATTGCCAAATGAAGAGAAACTACTTGTCAGATCTAGTCTTGTTTGAGAAGAACAATAACACATATACATATACATATTAACAAAAAAGTTCCATTGCTATATCAAGAGAAACCATTTGTCAGTTCTGGTCTTGTTTGAGAATAATTACACATATACATATCAAACAAGTTTTTTCTAACAAAAAAGTTCCATCGCTATATAAAGAGACACTATGTTGTCAAGGAAATCCTGAAAACATGAAAAACTATTTTAGTTTAAAAGTTTATTAGTAACGTATAACATGTTTATATCAAGCATATTTCATATACTAGCATTATAAAGGACATCATTTCTACAACTGAAAAGAAAGGATATATATAAAGCTGTGAGTGAAAACATTAGTCCTGCACCCTGACTGTGGAATATATATATTTTATGAAAACAAAACCATATATATTTATATAAAAGCAAGTCTACCAGCTCCATTCCACATTATGAAATCAGCATCAGGAAAAATGACTTTTAATTTTAGAGGAGGGAAATGTATTGTGTAATAAAATATTTGTAGACTAGATCTATATGTTAGTCTATGAATTACGTGAATATTATCCATATGTCATAACATACAAAGCCCAATTGTCTCTAACTTGAATGTCTGGGTCAGCCTTGAAACCTCAATATGTTGAGCTCGCAGTGTCAAATTCCCAGTTGTCACAAAATCAATTTATCGTCCCAAGAATAAACCTTACCCAGATAAATTAAACACAAAATAAAAAAAACACAACCAAGTAACTTTGTATCAAGTGTAACAGCCTATGACAAATGCTTCTGGTTTTATTTCTTATTATATAAATGTCATTTTATTTTATGTTTGCTTCCTCTTGGCTAGGTCAGACAGTAATAAGGCCCGGATGTGGCAAACCCTGATAGAGGCGAACTACTTCCCTGGTCCCCAAAATGATCAATGAATTACATCAGACTTGGATTGCACATGGATCTGTTGAATTGACTAACGATTGGTTTGTTGTTTAACGCCGAACTCAGCAATATTCCAGCTATATGACGGCAGTCTGTAAATAATCGAGTCTGGACAAGACAATCCAGTGATTAATATCATGAGCATCGATCCACGCAATTGGGATCGATGACATGGATCAACCAAGTCAGCGAGCCTGACCACCCGATCCCGTTAGTCGCCTTTTACGACAAGCATAGTCGCCTTTACGACAAGTATGGGTTGCTGAAGACCTATTCAACCCCGGAATCTTCACGGGTCGGATCTGTTTAAAGTGGTTTGTCTTTTTCTTTGTTTAACACCATACTCCACAATGTTCCAGCTACGTAACTGTAAATAATAAAATCTGGACCAGACAATCCAGTGATTGATATTATGAGCAAGGATCCACACCATCTGGATATGATGACACAATCAACAGAGTCATCGAGCCAGATCACCCAATCCATTTAGTTTTACAACCAGTATAGATTGCTGGGCACCAATTCTCACCCAGGAGACTGACTCTGCGGTCTAGTAATAGAGCATCTGTACTGAGAACGGAAGGTCCAGGATTCGATCCCCTGCTGTGTCATACCAAAAGACATTAAAAGATAGTACTTCTTGTAACCTGGCCTGGCGCTCAGCATTAAAGGGCTAAAACAAGGACTTGTCGGCTTGGAGTCAGTATACTGTGTCTGAGTGGTGTATTCATGTTAAACTGTGGCATGGTATCTCAGTGGGTTAGCTCTATAAAACCGGCATTAGTCCTGCACAGAACAAGCAGCAACACACACACACATTATATGTGCATGCATGTCGCTTTATAAGTGCAAAAATCTTGGACACAGCGCAATACCCCTACAATGCCACAATAGCCTACAATGCCACAATACATCCAGAATAGCCTACAACGCCATTATACATCCAGGATAGCCAACAACACCACAATACATCCAGGATAGCCAACACCACCACAATACATCCAGGATAGCCAACACCACCACAATACATCCAGGATAGCCAACAACACCACAATACATCCAGGATAACCTACAATGCCACAATACATCCAGGATAGCCTACAATGCCACAATACATCCAGGATAGCCTACAACCCCATTATACATCCAGGATAGCCTACAATGCCACAATACATCCAGGGTAGCCTACAATGCCACAATACATCCAGGGGTAACCCACAACGCCACCATACATCCAGGATAGCCTACAATGCCACAATACATCCAGGATAGCCTACAGTGCCACAATACATCTAGGGTAGCCTACAATGCCACCATACATCCAGGATAGCCTACAACCCCATTATACATCCAGGATAGCCTACAATTTCACAATACATCCAGGATAGCCTACAATGCCACCATACATCCAGGATAGCCTACAACACCACTATACATCCAGGGGTAACCCACAATGCCACAATACATCCAGGATAGCCTACAATGCCACAATACATCCAGGATAGCCTACAATGCCACAATACATCCAGGATAGCCTACAATGCCACCATACATCCAGGATAGCCTACAATGCCACCATACATCCAGGATAGCCTACAATGCCACAATACATCCAGGATAGCCTACAACGCCATTATACATCCAGGATAGCCTACAATCCCACAATACATCCAGGATAGCCTACAACCCCATTATACATCCAGGATAGCCTACAATGCCACAATACATCCAGGATAGCCTACAACCCCATTATACATCCAGGATAGCCTACAATGCCACAATACATCCAGGATAGCCTACAACCCCATTATACATCCAGGGTAGCCTACAACGCCACCATACATCCAGGATAGCCTACAATGCCACAATACATCCAGGATAGCCTACAACACCACCATACATCCAGGATAGCCTACAATGCCACAATACATCCAGGATAGCCTACAACGCCATTATACATCCAGGATAGCCAACAACACCACCATACATCCAGGATAGCCTACAACACCACCATACATCCAGGATAGCCTACAACACCACCATACATCCAGGATAGCCTACAACACCACCATACATCCAGGATAGCCTACAACACCACCATACATCCAGGATAGCCTACAACGCCACCATACATCCAGGATAGCCTACAATGCCACAATACATCCAGGATAGCCTACAACGCCACCATACATCCAGGGGTAACCCACAATGCCACCATACATCCAGGATAGCCTACAACACCACCATACATCCAGGATAGCCTACAATGCCACAATACATCCAGGATAGCCTACAACGCCACCATACATCCAGGATAGCCTACAATGCCACAATACATCCAGGATAGCCTACAACGCCACCATACATCCAGGGGTAACCCACAATGCCACCATACATCCAGGGGTAACCCACAATGCCACCATACATCCAGGATAGCCTACAACGCCACAATACATCCAGGATAGCCTACAATGCCACTATACATCCAGGATAGCCTACAACGCCACCATATATCATGACAGGTAGTAAGAGGAGGAACCTGTTTCTGTATTTCAACCATCTACTTCAAGCGGCAGGAAGATTCTGGGAGCAAGATTAACAAGTTTGGGACAGAAATAGCTGAAACCCTTGTGGTGAATTACCTTGCCCAGTAATGGCTGTATCTCCCTGCCAGCTGATGTGACCATTCCCTGACCACTAACACAACAGTTTAGTAGACATGATATACTGGAGAATGACAGTGCTGCTTCAGAATCAAACCATCTTGATTACCGAGGAAAAAAACAACTGAAGAGTGGTAAATGTGGCTATAGAATAAGTGGGGTATTGCACTGATTTAGTGACGTGCATGCATGCATGTGTGTGTGTGTGTGCGTGTGGCTGCTTGTACTCGTCCAGATTTATGCCTGTTTTATAGCCCTAGCCCACTGAGATAACATGCTGCAGTTTTTACGTAGATACCCTACTCAGACACAGTACACTGCCTCCGAGCCGACCAGTCCTTGTTTTAGCCCCTTAATGCCCAGCAACAAGCAGGGTAGCAACACATACTTTAACTTCTTTTGGTATGATGTGGCTGGGAATTTAAACACTGGCCTTCCGCTCTCAGGGCAGATGCTCTATCCACTAAACCACAGGGATTGTCACAGAGTAAGTCAGTAATTTAAATTAAGTTAATCAAACCTGTTTAAATGAAATAATAGGCAGTTCTAGCTAGCTATATGAAGTCAGCATTCAAAGTTGTTGTTTTAAAATTTTATAACATATTTGTTAAACATTTTAAACAGATTTATTTCTAAATTTTATAACAGAAATTTATTGTGTGATAAAACATCCCTATTCTGTGAAGCTCTGAGTGAGTGAGTGAGTGAGTGAGTGAGTGAGTGAGTGAGTGAGTGAGTGAGTGAGTGAGTGAGTGAGTGAGTATTTGACACTGCTTGTTGGAGAAATTTTCCAGCAATATCATGGCATGGAACACCAGAAAT